GCAACATCCCCAATCCGAATTTTGACATCTGGACAAGCTCCAAATAATTCGCCTCGTGTGTTATTAGCTGCTCGTATTGCCCATCCATGTTCCATATCAATTGGCCATTTTTGCTTCTTATAAAGATCTTTAGACATGAGATTTATTTCAGAACCATGGTCCACCAAAGCAACTATTGGTTCTTCTATATCTCCTACCTTCACCAATACCTCAGTAGTTGCCCTTGCCCAATGCTTTCGAGTATAATGGCTCAAAGTTTCCATTCCCTTGTCACTAGAATCTTCGAAACGTACTCGCTGATTATACCCATTCTTTTCATTTGTTGGTTGCTTGTAACCAATATCAACCTCTTCTTCATCTCTACATATTCTTGCATCAATAGCATGACTCATTCCAGTTTTGCTCATTAATTGCCTCTTTCGCTTAATGCTGTCAATGATAACATCATGAAACTCCTTCTTTGCAATTCCAAAGACTTCTTTCAATGTGAATTCCACCTTAGCGTTTAATATACGTTCTTCCAACACCCCTTTCAAATTTGTTGCCACTTCAATGTCAGAAAGTAGCTTATAAGCAATTGATTTGCCCTTATCTTTTGTCTCCGTTGTTTTTTCTCCCAATGATGCTGAGGTATCCTTTACAGGCAATTCTTGTGAAGTTGCCTCCCGAGCCTTGTCTCCTCGAGTTTGCCTCTTAAAAGAATTTCCTTCTCTAGTATCATCAAAATTTCCTCGTCTTTTTTCTTCCATCAAAGCTTCATGTTAGCTTTTAGCAATATATGCATGAACTGAAAGAGACTCAACAGGATCCTCCCAACCTGTTCTTCCTCGTATTGTAGCTGCAGTTCTCAATAACGCTTCTCGAGGTAATTTTCCTTCTTGCATTGTAGAAACGGCAGAAGCCCAAAACTCACTAGTTTTCGTACTTCCACCAATTTCATCATCTACTCTAGCACCATAACTTGCACTTTCTCGTACTACTGTTTCATGCTCTTTTAAGTAATCTTGAACCAATGCTCTCATTCCTCCCTTGCCAAAATTGGTTTGAAGAAGTTCCTCCCTATCTTTCAATGCTATCTTCCCATCTTTCCAGCAAATAATTCCTTGCCGTATCATATTATTAAATTCATTGCAATCTTTTCTAGTGTGTGAAGCATCATCACACCAAATGCATCTTTGTACATATCCTTGTTTTGAAACATTCTTCGAATTGTTTATAGAAGTATTTTCTTCAAGTCTTGCCAATTTGATTTGAAGATCTCGCATTCCTCGTATAATTTCTTCCATACCCATATCTGCTTTCTTTGACAAGGATGTCGAAGGTTGAACTTTAGGCATTGTCGGTGGTGTTGTACGTACTGGAGCTTTGGGTGCTTGTATTGTTTTCGGAATATTACTCCTATCCTTCCTCCTTTCTTTTTTTGTAAGCAACCCCACCGCATCTTCAACGTTCTTCCACTTCGTTGTCAATCCTTCATCTTCTTCTTTGTCTTCAAGAAGGGATTCTAATTTTTCTTGCAATTCTCCATCAGCAGCTTGAAGAAATAGATCAACTTTGTTCGGCTCCAATGTCAATTTTTCTACCTTCGATAATTGAGAGTACTGCCTCTCAAATTCCCTTAGTAGCTCTGTTGCTTGCAAATTCTTATTGGGCCGTTCAATCCATCCCAGAAACAGCTTCTTAGTAACGCGATCAACATCTTCCAAGAAATATTCGTCTTTCAATGCATGTGAAAAATCCTCCCATGAATTCCCACAACGATCCGTAATTGATGTAATGTGGTCCCTAATCTCCGGTATCGTGGCAAGTCCAAATAGTGCAACCATTTTCTTCTTAGAAACCCGATTTAATTCCATTTCACGAACATAACATCTTAAATACCTTGAAATATTCCTCCCATCAAATTGATCAATTTTATTGACCACTGCTTGCAATGCTTTGGTTGCCAAAGCTTCCTTTTGATCATTGCTTTGCTGTTACTACATTGATAATGAGAAGGCTTGAAACAAACTAGCAATAGATGGATCCATGTGCATACCTTGTCCTTTAGAAGACTCTCCACCAGAAACTTCTCCCAAAAATCCTTCAAAATTTTTATTTTCGTTTTCCATAAAAATAAAGATAAAATCAACCGAAATCCAATACCTTCTACCTCAAGCTTTCACGTCGGGTTCACCACTTTTTGTCGTATTACGTGCTTTCCTGCTCGAGAACGCGCCGGACGTCTGGCTGTAGAAGGTAGTATGGAGATTCGCCGATAGTCAAGCAGTCTATCAGTTTTTGACTGCTGGAATATAAACGACTGCAACAATGTACCGTAAATCTATATGGATGCTCTTCGACTGCTTGTCGAAGTCTTTTTTTTGTCCCAGCCGGTAGGTCTCTAGACATTACAGAGAACCCCGAACAACCCAAACTGTTAATCTTCAATACCCTTTTGTACTCACGATCTTGTATCTATTGACTGTCTTGTTAGATTAACCCAATAAATTTCATTCACTCCGCATACTCAATCCTATAGACACCCTTTTAATCCTTCAATCACAGACATAACTCGATTTTACAAAACAGTCAAGAGTATTCAAACCCACTTCATTTAAAAATCCCGATTCACCATTACAACACTGACTTCAGCAGCGATTGCCTCAGTCTTCCCCAAAACTCTACGAAGAAGAAAAATCCAAATTCTATGTCTTTCCTTCCCTGACCCGAAGCATGAAGCTCCTCTCTCTAATTCCCTTGATCTTCCCAAACCTCCAATAAAAAAAAAACCCGAACTGGTAACCTTGCAGAAGCTTGAAAAATCCTTCCCCCCCCCGATTTCCCTCAAAAAAAAAACCACCCCCAAAACTATATCCCACCTAACCTTATCCTCTGAATTTCTTCAATCTTCCGTCTTAGATCCGGAATTGGCTCCCACCTCAAGCTTGGATCCGAAATTGGCTCTCGCCGTCAAGCTTTCTCCTACGTTTTTGCCTTTAAGAAATCCATTTACCAAAAACAACGTTCCCTGAGACGGCACAAAGAACAGGACAGCCTAAAACAGAATCGAACCCCGTAATTGGGACCACATTGAGTCGCCCGACCAATTCAGGTCCTATATTAGGAAAGATGCCCGTAGTAACCTGGATGTTCCCGTAATTGGGTCAAATTGGTCCTCGCGTCAGATTGGCTAAGACCCATAGTAAGACATGGATTTCCCGTAATTAGACTGCACTGGGTTGACCGGCCAATTCAGGTCTCATATTGGATAAGAGGACCCGGATTGGATTATCGAAATTGGATCCAATTGGCTCCTCGAACCCGTCTTGTGAATTGGTCCTTTTCTTCCTGCTGACTCCCGTTATTCGGATCGAATGGAGCATTTCAGTATGCCCCGGCTGATTGTAATGGAGTGACTGAACCTGACCACTCAATATTTGTACTGGAGTTGGTCGATGCTCCCAATATTCGAGGTAACTCAATATTAATAAAATTCCCCTTTCTTTTTATTTTCACTGTATAATCGTGTTACAACACGACACTGGTGGCTGTAGCTATTGAAGGTTGAATTCAGATTCCCTCGTCGATACTCTGAGACTCAAGCAGCTTGGTGCTCATCTCTTTTGGTAGTTGAATCTCTATGAGAGTAAGTCCCTGTACACAGTGAAGATCCTTGTCTTCGAGGCAAGAGTAGTTGTGTGGCATCCATAGTAGCATTGAAGGTAGCACACTTCGAGGAAGGTGTTATTTCCTTGCAGTAGACTGCCAAATCGAGAGGACCTGCCTTCAGATTGAGTTTTTGAGCTCGGAATAAAGTGATCATCCATCTCAAGAGACTTTGTTTCATTCCAGATAAGAGAGGATTTGAGTAGAGAAACTAGAAGATTGTGTATCTGAAGACCTGTTTAGAACTGGCCTTCAACTTGTTGGGTTATGTCTATCACCCAGGAGTCTAAACTAAGAGTGAAGTGACTGAATGAAGAAGATGTGGCATATTTGCAAGCTATTTGAGATCTTTGACCATTTTCCTCGTAGGATCGACCTGTATTCACCATATACCTACAATCTTGTGGTTTTGTGAGTCGTTACATACAGTTACATTTTTGGCGCTGCTGCCGGGGAACTGTGTGCCAAAGAACTCAGACGAGTTGCAACTTCCTCTGATCGGAATCTCACCACTATGAATGAGGTCAGAGGACGAAGAAGAACAACATGTGGATGAACGTGCCGAACGCAGAAGACGAAGGGACGAGATTCAAAGGAAGCAAGAGCTTGAATTGAAGCTGAAGGAGAGTAATTGGATTCCTCGAAGACAGTCAAAAAGAACTCAAAGCCGATATCCTCCTTCTTCTTTTGGTATCGTTCTGTTCCCACAAAGAGAGAGATTAGCTGTAAACTTATACAGAGAAGAAGGTGACGAACCGTTGGAAAGCGAGAACGTTGAAGATACGCCTTTAAGCCCATGTTCATCGGATTCAGGAAGATCCCCATCTTCCCCGAGGACAAGGAGACATACGACTTCAACAATCTCCTCGTGGACAAAGAAGTCAAGGTGGAATACCAAGACCAAAGGTACGGAAGGTGCTGGACCTTCTGAATCCACAGAACCACGGACTTCCATTGTTCCAAAGATAACTGAGAAACAAGTCGAAGATGTCTTCAAAAACATTGATCCGAGAACCATCATCGATCAATTAGAACCAATGGTACTCAAACAGAACCTTAGACTTGATCAACAAGAAGAGGACATCATCCGAGGATCAACACTCGAAGAAGAAGCAAAAGACAACCTATAAGAGGAAGGTCAACAAGAAGAAGAGCCAGAAGAAGAAGAAAGGGAAGAGCAGACCAATCCAGTACTTTCGAATTTACTCCCTTCATCTTCCCTAACAGCTCTTCCACCTTCGACAAAAGGGAAGCAACCACCCAGTGCGGCGACCCCAGTTTCAATACCGGTGCCACCACCTCCACCTCCACCTCATCCATCGGCGTTAGCTCGTCATAACCCAAAGACTTCAATGGCGTCCAACCCAATCACCAAGCAGACATACATAAAATTCCGAGGAAGGTCCGATGAAGAAGATGACGATTACCAAGATGTAGATAACTTCATCAAGGAATTTGAATCTATCTCGTTTGCTAACAAGGAGCATGCAGAAGATGATCGGAAACGAATCTTCTCTGGTCTTCTTCGAGATCATGCGAGGAATTGGTGGACACACGTCAGTAAAGATGTAACAAACGTCAACACCTGGGATAAAATTAAAGACGCTTTTTTAAAGCGATTTAGGGAGGTGGGCTATGAGCGAAACGTATGGACCCGTCTTAGTCACATAAGACGAAGAAAAAAACGAGAAACTTCGGAATTACGTAGAGCGATTTCAAGTACTCATTGACAGAGCTGGAGGACTTCGATCTGGAACCAATACGGGTCAAATTTCTGAAGCCCAAGCCACAGATCACTTCATAAGCGAGTTGGAAGACCCAATTCGATTGTTCTACAGAGAAAGACAGAACACCCCTCCTACTTTGGACAATGCCATCAGTAGTACCGAGATATATGAAACAGCACATTACAAGAAGGAATCGCGCAGAAGGGAGAAGAAGCGTTCGAAGAAGAAGAAGAGAAGGTCAAGCTCTTCTTCAAGCTCGTCGGCATCTTCAGACTCATCGAGCTCTTCCTCGTCATCTTCCGAAGAAGACACTAGAAAGGCCTCACACAAGAGGAAAGAAAAGAGAAAGAAAGATAGGAAGAAAGAAAAAACGACACCCAGACCTAGCACTCCAAAGAAAGAAGATCCTATGGATACTCTTCGGAAGGAAATGGCTGAGTTGAAGATATAGGTGGTTGGTACTCAACCCCCTAGACCAAAACCTTTCTATCAGCGGCCTAACGTTTAGTGTACCATCTGTCAGAAACCAGGTCATACAGCGAGTGAATGTTATTCCAATCGACCTTCGTATCCTGTACAACAAATGGAGTGGGTCCCTACATGAGATTACTACGAAGGCTACCAGCAAGAAGACCAGGTGTACGCAGCGGAAGAAGTTCCTACACACACACCAATACCACCGGTCATGATTCCGAGGTATGTGCCAAGAGAATACGCGCAAAACTTGCCACCCAGAATGATGGTACCACACAACTCACCCCCAGGTACGTGCTTGAACTGTGGAAAATATGGACACTGGACAAGGAGCTGCCCAAAACCTCGAAGACAGCTCGGTTATGTACCATTGTGTGGGAACTGTGGGAAATCGGGACATACAGTGGCAAACTGTGATCAACGTCCAGCACAGCAGAAACCTACGGTACGTTTCAGTACTGCACCACCAGTCACAATTCCGAAGGTGGATACTCCAGTAAATTTGGTCTCATGGGACCATACTAAACCTTCGGAAGATCTGGAAATGGAATGGCCTGAGGAATTTAGAGATGATCTTCCGATAGAGGTCTTGAAGGTAGAGACACGAAATACTAAGAAACAGAAGAAGAAGGGCACTTCATCTTCATCTTCTGAATCACCCCCACCAAAGAAAAAGAGCGAACGGAAGAATATCGAAATTTCCACTTCTTCCAAGAAGGAGACACCGAAGCAAGCCATCGCTAGTCCGCATGAAGATAAGCAGCCGACTGCTTTCCCCGCGGACATCGAGAGGAAGTCCAGGAGCTCATCCAGAAGGAAGTACAAGATGAATTGGCACCCGTAGTTCCGGAAAAGAAAGTAGAAGTACCTTCTATGAAGACCATTCAAAAGAAACAAGTTGTGCCAAATTACGACGTAGTGGAGGATCTGAAAGGCGAGAAGGCGAATGTGACCTTCGGACAACTTCTAGCAGACAGCAAACCATACAGGAAGTTGGTTACATCTTCTCTTCGTCATACGAATGCTAAACGGAAGAGAATACTCCCTACGGTATTTCATGTGGAACAAGAAGACCTGAGATCACCAAAGATTGACGTAAAAATTGCAGGGTGCATTTTGAAGGAAGTGCCAGTAGATTCAAGATCTGGAGTCAATATCATGACAGAGGAGACAGCTCATGATCTGGGCTACCATGATTTCAAAACCACTCCTAGAATGCTGAGACTAGCAGATCAAACAAGGAGAAAGCCAGCAGGTATTCTTCAAAATATAGAAACTCTAATAGGAGGAGTGCCCTTCAAACTAACTTATATTATCATTCGCCCAATAGTGAAAAAGGGATACAAGATTTTGATCGGAAGACCGTGGTTATACAGAGCAAAAGTAAAGACGAACTCGTACCATCACGAACTGAAGTTCAAGGACCTTCGAGGTCCAGCACAGAAGCCAATAATCGTAAGTTGGAAGAAGGTTCCACACCTAGGAGAGACCCCTCCGTCTGACCAGGGTTACACGTCGGAGACTTCCGAAACTTCCTCGATTGATTTGAAGGACCCTTATGATGTGAGTTATCTGACATGTTACCTAGTTGATGAGGATGAAGAAGACTCAGGAAACGAAGATCTCGAGTCTGAGAAAAATCTGGACTTAGCTCGATTGGAAATAAGTTCGACCAGTCATGTCGAAGGCATCGTCAACCCAGATGATTGTCTCGACATTGATTTGGACAAAGAGAAGACCTTGAAGGTTTCCAAATACATAACCCCAGAAGAACTTCAATCATGTGGAGAAATCTTCTTAAAATATCATGACATCTTTGCCTGGAGCATTGAGTAGATGCCAGGAATTCCGAAGGAGTATGGGAAACACCGAATCGATTTAGTTGAGGGAGCAATCCCTATACGCCAGAGACAGCGAAGAGAAAACCCAAAATACTCCCTGTTGGTGAAGGATGAGATTGAGAAATACTTGAAGGCTGGGATAATTTTCCCAGTACTATCCAGTGAATGGGTATCACCCATTGTGGTAGTTCCCAAGAAGAATGGGAAAATTTGGGTATGTCAAGATTTTTGAAAGTTAAATTCGGTAACTAAGAAGGACCATCACCCTCTTCCTTTCATAGATCACGTTTTGGACCAGGTGGCAGGACATGAATGCTATTCCTTCTTAGATAGATTCTCAGGTTATAATCAAGTTTCCATTCGAGAAGAAAATAAGGATAAAACCACCTTCACAACCGACTGGGGTACCTTTGCATACAACCGAATGTCCTTCGGACTGTGCAACGCACCTGCAACCTTCCAGCGATTAATGAATACCATCTTCAAGGACTTACTACGAAAGTTTGTGGAGGTCTTCATAGATGATTTCTGTATTTTTGGGAAGAGAGAAGATCATCTGAAACACCTAGGAATCACCTTCGAAAGATGTCGGCAGATGCATCTAGCCTTACATCCCGAGAAGTGTTTCTTCTTCATGAAAGAAGGTATCTTTCTTGGCCACAAGGTGTCAGAGAGAAGAATAGAGGTGGACCAGACGAAGATGAAGGTCATAAAAGACTTAGAACCACCCAAGAATATTCGTGAGTTAAGAGGATTTCTAGGTCATATTGGTTATTATCGAAGGTTTGTACAAAGCTATGCCACTTTGGCTGCGCCTTTGACCAAGTTATTAAAGAAAGATCAATACTATGACTGGACTGCGGAACAGGAGAGAGCCTACTTAGTCCTGAAGGAAGCACTGATGAAGGCACCAGTCCTTCAAGCACCAGATTGGAAGAGACCTTTCCATGTGTACGTGGATACGTCCTCCTTCGCAATAGGTACAATTCTCAATCAGAAAGATGAAGATGGGAAGGACCATCCGGTTTACTACGCAAGTCGACAGCTTAACGTTGCTGAGAAGAATTACACCACCGCAGAATGGGAAGCGTTGGGAATGGTATACTCGTGCAGAAAATTTCAGACGTACCTTCTTGGGTACACATTCGTATTTCATGTTGATCATTCTCCTCTTCAGTATTTAGTGAAGAAGGCGGACTTATCTGGAAGAATAGTCAGATGGAAGTTACTCCTTCAAGAATTTGATTATATAGTACAGGTTAAGAAGGGGAGTACACATGCGGATGCGGACTATCTGTCTCGTCTTCAAACAGAAGAGCAAAAGGAAGAAATCCTGGATGATTTCCCAGATGAAGATCTGTTCCAGATGACGACGTCGCAGACTACACGATACATGGATGAATACAGGTATCTTCAAACAATGCAGTGCCTTGAAGGACAGGACCCTGTACAGAGATCTGTGTTCATTCACAAAATGAGCCCATATGAACTCAAGAAGGGTATTCTATTCAAGATGGGAGCAGACGAAGAGCTTCGAAGATGCCTAGAAAGCTGTGAAGTGGGAGGTGTCATCGAAGCATTACACTCGGAAGCAGCTGGGGGACACTACGCACTAAAGAATACAGTTAAGAAGATCCTGGCTGCAGGATATTGGTGGCCGACTATGTATAAGGACACCCATGACTATATCCGAAGGTGTGATGCATGTCAACGAGTTCGAAGGCCCACACCTTCCACTCAATGGCCATTGTTTCCTATACTACCTTTAGTCCCCTTCGAGAAATGGGGAATTGACTTTGTAGGCCCCATTCAACCCATTACTCAATATACTCGGAAGTGGTATATTTTGGTTGCAACAGACTACTCAACGAAGATGGTTGAAGCGGAAGCAACTCGGAAGGACGATGCTGCGACCGTTGCGGAGTTCTTCTTCCGAAACGTCATTTCCCGTTATGGGTGTCCGTTGGAATTGGTTAGCGACCGAGGTAGTCACATTCTCAACCATCTGATCAAAGTGCTGACAGAATATTTTCAAATTCGACACACGAAGACCACACCCTACAACTCGAAGGCCAACGGTTTAACCAAAAAGTCCAACGGTCTTCTGTGTAAGATCCTTAACAAAGTGATCGTTAACTACGCATATGACTGGGATGCCAAACTACCGGCTGTGCTCTGGGCGTACCGGACTGCGGAGAAGATAACCACCCGTCGAACACCTTACTATTTAACCTACGGGATGAATCCCATTCTCCCGATTGAGTTCGAAGTCCCTACCCATTGTGTGCTGAGTGTAGATCGCTTGTCAGTAGAAGAGAGTCAGGAAGTGAGGTTCTTACAGCTGACACAGTTAGAAGAAAACAGAGACGAAGCGAGAGATTTCACCTTGGACATTTAGGAGAGAAGGAAGAAGAACCACGATAACAAGATACGGAAGATAGATTTGAAGGATGAAGATTTAGTCCTTTTCTATGACAGTAGACATTTCAAACTCTCAGGCAAGCTACATCTTCGATGGATGGGCCCGTACAAGGTAACCAAGATCTATGAGAATAGATCACTGCAGCTTGAAGATCTCGCAGGAAATCCCTTCGCCAATCGAGTGAATGGTTGGAGGGTGAAAAAGTACCACGGGTAACGAACACTGTCATCAAGAGGTGGCAACAAATTCGCGAAGATCCCTTTTCGGAAGGGTATTACCAAGACTATCTTCGAGATGAGGAGGGTACCTTCGACCCTCGCAAGAACGAAACCCTGGAAGGCAAACGAGCAGAAGAAGATTCAGGAGATAGTCACCATTGTCGTGTTGTAACACGAGTATACAGTGAAAATAAAAAAAAAAAAAAAAAAAAAAAAAAGAATTTTATTAATATTGAGTTACCTCGAATATTGGGAGCATCGACCAACTCCAGTACAAATATTGAGTGGTCAGGTTCAGTCACTCCATTACAATCAGCCGGGGCATACTGAAATGCTCCATTCGATCCGAATAACGGGAGTCAGCAAGAAGAAAAGGACCAATTCACAAGACGGGTTCGAGGAGCCAATTGGATCCAATTTCGATAATCCAATCCGGGTCCTCTTATCCAATATGAGACCTGAATTGGCCGGTCAACCCAGTGCAGTCTAATTACGGGAAATCCAGGTCTTACTATGGGTCTTAGCCAATCTGACGCGAGGACCAATTTGACCCAATTACGGGAACATCCAGGTTACTACGGGCATCTTTCCTAATATAGGACCTGAATTGGTCGGGCGACTCAATGTGGTCCCAATTACGGGGTTCGATTCTGTTTTAGGCTGTCCTGTTCTCTGTGCCGTCTCAGGGAACGTTGTTTACGGTAAATAGATCTCTTAAAGGTAAAAACGGAGGAAAAGGCCTTGATGACGTGAGCCAATTTCGGATCTAAGCTCTGACGGCGGGAGCCAATTCCGGATCTAAGATGGAAGATGGAAGAAATTCAGAGGATAAGGATAGAGGAGAATATAGTTTTAGGGAGGGGGGTTTTTTTCTTTCTCGGGGAATCGGGGGGGAGCTAGTTTTCAAGTTTTTACAAGGTTACTAGTTCGGTTTTCATTGGAAGGTTTTGAAGTTCAAGGGAATTAGAGAGAGGAGCTTCATGCTTCGGGTTAGGGAAGGAAAGACATAGAATTTGGATTTTTCTTCTTCGTAGAGTTCTGGGAAGACTGAGGCAATCATTGCTGAAGTCAGTGTTGTAATGGTGAATCGGGATTTTTAAATGAAGTGGGTTTGAATACTCTTGACTGTTTTGTAAAATCGAGTTATGTCTGTGATTGAAGGATTAAAAGGGTGTCTATAGGATTGAGTATGCGGAGTGAATGAAATTTATTGGGTTAATCTAACAAGACAGTCAATAGATACAAGATCGTGAGTACAAAAGGGTATTGAAGATTAACAGTTTGGGTTGTTCGGGGTTCTCTGTAATGTCTAGAGACCTACCGGCTGGGACAAAAAAAAGACTTCGACAAGCAGTCGAAGAGC